GTAGAACATCATGATGTCCTGCATTTGCATATTAAAAGGCTAGGGTAGGAGAGCCAGCAATTTTGCAGGCTATGTGAATGACATGCCTGGTCAAACCAATACCCTGAGCCCTGTGCAAACCAGATGCCAACCCCTCCAGCCTCCTCATAGAAGCAACCACTTTTCTGCGGCACCCAGGGTTTCCTCTCTCAGCTTTGGAGCTCCCCTCCATCCATCTCTGTATAGGGGATAGTTTTTTCCTTCCTTCTTGTCTTTTCAACTCACTGCTCCTTAAAACCACTCCATGTATGTCCATGTCATTTTATCAAAATCAGCACAAGACTAAGAATCCTGGTGTTTCTCCAGTCATTGGAGCCATATCCGTACCAGGAGGGAAAGCAGCATATACAGGCACAGGTGCAGGCAAGCAAGCAGATGTGGTTGGAATTTGCAGAAGTTATTTTTCTGGTTGCTTTTGTTTTATCAGTAAAATATGTTGCTGAGAAGGATCCAAATCTTTGACTAAAAAGGTTGGGGCTTTGAAGAGGTATCAAAAGTTTAAGGAAAGAACTAAAAATATGAAATACTCCACTGGTAAAGTGGGAAATAAATGGTTATGGAAATATATTTTCCAGTTAACATTAAGAGCCCACTTGAGATTAGTGGTCATGAATTTAAAGTGGGGCCATCCATCATGATTTTATGCTTTTCTTCAGTCGTGTTCAATTGCACAGTTGCAGGCATGAAGTAGAAAAAGAGTTAGATGTATGTAGGGCTGTGTTTTTGCCTATGAAGAAGCAAGAGAGTGACAAAAAATCCATGGATACATGCAAAGGAGGGATTATAATTATTTAAGCTGGATTAAAAAAGGATTGAAATGAAGGCACACCAGGAAAAATGTAACATTGGTATCACTGAGAAATTGTAGATTCTGTTGGGGTCAAAGGGAGGTTGGAGAGGAGTTCCTGGAGGGAGTGAGCTGGAAACATAGCAGAATGTGATGCTGGAAATGGAAAATATGGAGGGCACATGGTTAGGGTAAGACAAGACAGCAACTGTAAGCAAATGTCTGAGAAACGTAGATGACAGGAACACAGGAAGAGAGGAGGTCAGTGGCTTAGAAGCCAGGATATTAGAAGGGTAACATTCAGTTAGAAGGAAATTGAAATCACCAAAAAGCAGGAGTGGTATTAAAAGACAATGAGCTAGGATCAAAAAATCCTCAAAAATTAAGAGAAAATAGATCTCCAAGTATCAGTTAATAACAGTAACAAGAAGGACCGGTGTTTGGAACAGTCTGATGACCTGAGATTCAAAGTCAATTGTTTTCATGGAGAAAGAAGATAGGAAGGAAGTGAAAATGAGGAGATAAGAGGACACCACCCTTCCTTCAATCCCAGCATTTGAGAATGCGATGGGCTAAGAGCTATCATTTGAAAAGGATATGGGGAAAATGGTATCCTCAAGGCAGGGCCAGGTTCTGGAACATCAGGGATTGAGAATACCCATGTTTTTAATAATAATGGCCAATAACTTCTAAAATTTACAATGGAAGAGATTTAGGAAGTGGGGATAGTTAGAAGGCGTGATCAGGAAAGGACTTTAGAGGGTTTAGAGTACCCTAGCAGTCCTGCCCTCTTGGGCTGCATCTCCTCATCATAAACTTGAGATCCATTGAGGACCAGTGGCCTCTCAGACCTTTCACAGCACCCGTTTGGGTGGCAGTAGGTACAGAGGGAAAAATCTTTGGAATGCTAGCTCAGACACACTTGAGCCTGTAGGAACACACACCTTGGAGTGTAGTGTCCTCTGTTGCCCGTTCCTTCCCATTCAGGCTTGGCAATGCCATATAAGAAGTGACAGTTTCACTCTGTAGTAGCTGCCCATGATGACAGAAAGATTTTTCCATGAAGTTTGCTGTCTTCCTGGGCTTCACCCAGCATGGAACCCAGATATCCTGTACTATCAGATCACTAAATTGAAAATGGATTTCTGTCTTATTGCACATATTTGTCATAAAGTTGGCATATGTTCTCTCCCCAACCCTCAACAACAAGCAAAAGTTTTCTCTTACACTTAACATTCTTGTTTTTCCAATTACTCTCCTCCTTATTCTGAGTTTGAACCATTGTTAGCTTATGGTCCAAACTGGGAATAAGGAGAAGAGTAATGGAATATGGCATAGGAGCTTGGTCAGAGCAGGGAGAGCAAAACATTACTTGCTGAAATCATGTGCTTTATCCCTGAGGGCATTTGATGCCCCTGTTCTTTGGTTCTCCATGAGAGAGAAAAAAAAAACTGGTGATAGCACTGGATAAGACACATGGTAGATTTTCACTTTCTCCTGAATTATCTATTTTTATTTTAGTGGAAAGTTTAAGTTGATAAATTAAGTTATATGCACAGCAATTGGTAAATGCTTTGAAAGAAAAAGCCATATGAATGGAAATAATTGTTTAAAATTCTTGAGAATGAGAAAGAGAGAATGAGCAGATGGCCCATCATGCTTTTATTGGCTTTCGGGTTGGTTCCAAATGGCAAAGTATTGCCTGGGCAAACATTTGGAATCAAAATGACCATACTCTGTTTGCTGAGAATCTTTCAGTGCATTTTGTGCTGTGCAAGTCATGTTCACCACTATGAAAGGACATTAAACTTGATAGAAAAAAAAAAAATATGTGATTTATTGGAGCACTAGGAAGAAGTTTGAAAAGAAAGCAAGTGAATTAACAGATAGCCATATCCAAATGGCAAAGATGCTAACATGGGAAGAACAGAGTCTAAGAACATTGTGGAATTTGAAATTAAAGTGGTGGAACTTTTATCTAGGTGTGAACAAGCTTTATATGCATGATTGTCCCAAAGACCAGAGCTGTTTTTAAATGAGAGTTGGACTCCAAATTATGAATTTTATTCTAAATAAGTCAAAGAGAATATTATATAATTTTGATAGAATCAATAATCTTTATGAGAAAATAACATTTTACTTTTTTTTTTTTTTTTTTTTTTTTTTTT